TTTCTTTGGAGGACTCGTTTGCTCCAACCATCTCCTAGCCTTACGATGGAGTTTCCTCTCTTTATAAAGGGCTTGGGCTATTGAGTTCCTTAGTCCCAACCTGACTGATTTCACTCATTTTTCTTAACATATTTTCCCATGTAGGAATTTCAGTTTGTTTTCTTGAAAATTTATCCTTAAGGTCATTTCCAACCGTGATATTAGTTCCATGAAAAGAAAATGCTCAGAATACTTTGTTTAGGTAGAACCAAAATAACTTAAAAGGGGAAAAATAAATGTCACCAGCAAAACCACTAAGGAGACAGAAAAACTAAAACAGGTGACCAGTTCTCAAAGACAGGCGTAGGCACCTAAGGTAAGTCCTGTTAAATCTCACGCAAGAATTTTTAGGGTTCTAGTTCCGAAGTACAATGCCACTCAACAGTAAGGCCTGGAATTCCGTGAATTCTTCCCAGTTTGAGCTCTTGGGAAAGGAAAAGGACAGAATGTTCTGTATAACCCAAGTTAAGAATAAAGTGTGTTCTGAATATTAAGAGATTAAAATTCCCCAAAGTGAGCTTCTTGGCAGAAAATGGCCAAAGTTATTTAAAGTGACTTCCCATCTTTGAATTCACCCATTGAATAAAACAATATTGAACTCCTGTTTAATAATTTAAGGAGCCTCATTTCTTTCACTTTGCCCTAGCACAGAACTTAATCACATGAAGGGCTCCCTATATGCAGTCTCCAAAAGGATAGAAACCTAATTCAGTTATTACAGAAATAACTCAAGACCTTTAAAAGTTTCTTCTGAACTAAAATAACCCTTGAGAATTCCCTTACACAACCAGCTAGCATATATATTTATATGCACTGTATTTGTACATAATATATACATTTAATATTGCAAACCTGTTAGTTTGCAGTTGAATTCTTCTGTAGTGGCTAATTATGTCTGGATGTAGATTTATAGTTCAGGTACTCAAACTGCCTGTCAGGCAGTTCATAGAAGAAAGCATGTCTTTGCGTAGGAAGAGAGCAAGATTTTCTTTATTGCCATAATCCAAGTGAACAAAAATTAGCACTATTTTTCTCTGATATAAGTATCTACACTTGTTATAGCCCATTAAAATGTAGCCAATGAATGTGTTAACTTTACCCCAGAGTGAAGAATATCATATCATCAAGTAAAGCTGAAGTAAAAAGTAACTTCCTAATAGTAGATAGATATGTGACCTTGCAACACAAGCAACAATAGTTGGCTTTTATCCTTCCCAAATTTTATAACTGCCTCAAAATAGTTAGAACTACTACGTAGTTCAGATAGCAAGTTCTATATTGAATTGCCATTAAAATTGTTCATGGGGTAAAATTCAAGTGGAATCAAAGATAATTTAGAATTAAAGTTAATCATAATTTAAAAATAGGTCCTAAAGGTGCTTACATATAGGAGTAGTGGGTAATTGATCCTTATAGTTTTGGAAAACTAGTAACACAGCCATCAGTATTAAGGTGGAATGAATAATATATTTTTAGGTGACAAATGAAACATTAATTCCCAATCCTCAGTGAATTCCCAGTGTTCCTATATATGAATGATAATGAGAAAAGGTAATCTGCACAGCCAGCCATGCAAAGAAATCCCACTGTCTAGTCATATGTTCATTCTTTGGTGGAGGAAAAAGCATTTCTCTTAAATGCTTATACTTAATGGGTGCTTTCAGTTAACTTGAACCCTAAAAATAAGGAATCACAAGAGCTGGAATGAACTAGAGTCAAGCAAGATGGGACGAACAACAAATTCCAAGCAGAGCCTTGTCTAATTGAGAAAGCTTCCCCTCATACGTTGAAGCCTCGCAAGCTCTCCCCTCTCTGACCTGTCTGATCATGAGCCCACGCAGTCCTCTTGGCTGCCACAAAGATGAAACTGACAGCGCAGTTACTTGAGTCAGTTTAAAGAAGCCCAGGGTGGCTGAAGGGGAAGGAATGGGAGGCCTGGGGTGCTGGAAGGACGTGCCGGCTCTAGCTCCCGAGCATCCCAGTAGCACACAGCTGTCAAGAACACGAAGCTGCATGTAAATAAAACCTTTAGACGGAAGCAGGGGTTTTACAGTGTGTCAACCATTTCATCAGGCACAACTTGTCTTTCCACCTTTCAGTGATCATGAATCTGATTAAAGCAGCAGAGAGTTTGTGAATTGGTCACATAGTGAAAACATGCAGTCATTTCTGGTTTTTATGCTCTGTAACTTATTGGTCATAGTAGAAATTACTTCATATTTAAATATGGTTCTTGGTGAAACCTAGTTTTCTTTGTGAATCCTCACAAAGGCCTTTTGTCTAACAGGTGTATCTATTAAGGCATGAGTGAAATAAAGCTCTGTGTGCTTATTAAAAAAAGAAGAAAGCCTTTGAAGTATGATAGTCCATGGTAAGATATCACTGGACAAAAGAATGGTCTTCCAGAAGGTGATGTGACAATTCCACAAACTCTCTGGGAAATGCCCAGGATGTTTGCACTAAGTGATATTACAGGGAACACATTTTTGTTGTTGTTGTTTTTCAGTGAGGGCTCTCTTCCAGAATAATTATTCACTCTTCGACTACAGAATTTCTTGGCAGTTTCATTCTATTCTTCCTGTTGTGGTGGAAGATATTTTATCACCATCACCAATAATAGGGAACAGGGGAAGAGGGAAGGGTGGGCACTCAAGCATGTCACAGGATATATATAATAAACACTAAACAGACATTATTTATTTACATAATCCCTCAACATATTCATTATCATTCCTATTGCGTAGATGATGTAATAGAGGCTTAAAAAGTTTAAATACTTTTTCATTTAATAGTGCTGCTAGGATTCAGTCTGCCAGCCCTTTCTCCTAACCACTTCTCCATATTGCTTCCTGGTCGTTTCCAACATGGAAGGAACTGGCCAAGGACCTTTAAAACTTCTGTATCCCTCTATTTCTCTATTCCCAGGTTTAGAGAGCATCATTAATGGTAATGTATAAATTCATTAAGAGTCAAAAGTATATCAGGTTACAGTTAGACGGAAAAGGCAATTGGTAAAGACCCAGATAAGTTAGAATCAAAGAATTTTAAAACTGTAAAGTGTTCTTATATACCTTTGACTTTTATTCTCATATTTTACAGGCAATAAAATGCACTTCAGTGATAGTGTCTTTACTGAGGTGACAAAACTCATTCATAGCAGATCTTGAGCCAGAGACCCAAGACTTCTAGCTCAGGGCTCAACCTATTTGTCTCTACTACACCACCAAATTACAGTATTATTTTTGACTTTACAAATGAAGTCACTGTTGGATTCTTCTAAAGAATAAGCTACTATAAATCTATCTGATATATCATTTAATCAAAACAGGTTTGATTTCTAAAAGTTTTCGAAGAGCACATTTTGTAAAGAACTCTGTACATTTGCTCTTCATATTGTGACTATGTATATACATAGACAGATAACTAAGAGACTATTGCAGCTATACCAAAAAAGCTAACATTCAAGGCCAAAATACAAGCATCCATTCATAAATGTAAAGAGTTCAATCAAGACCAGCTCTTGTGCTTACTCAGAACAAAGTTACTCTCACTCAGTCACCTGTAGGGAAACATGGAGTGTACAATACACTCAAGGCAATTAACAGCCATTTCTGGGAGCCCCTTTCAAAGAAACAGTTTTCTTTACATCTCATGGTAGGAGTTCTGAAATACACAAGACCCAGGGCTTTTCTCTGAGGCAACCAGTATTTTATAATATTTTCAGGGGGAATATTATTAGTCAATATAAAATATTAAGTGAAAAATCAGTATTTTTACCATATCATTAGAAATTACAATTGCTTTTAAAACAGTGGCCTCAAGTTCTATTTTTAGACCCTTTTGACCAGTACAGACTAGACACCCAGATTGAAGTCAGAGGTCTTTATTTTACATAGGGCCCACACTCTTTGGAGTAATTGTGATGAAATATTTCCATGCAAATTCTTACAAGCACTTATGCCTTTATCTTTGTTCTTATTTGCTACATTATACCACCTGTTGTATTTTCGAAAAAAGAAAACCTCTCTGATATTTAAAATCTTCCTTTCAATTAATACCTGTAAATTTTTTGCCAATAATTTCTTATTCTAAACATGATTGTTAATTGAATGAATCATTTGTTTATGCTATAATTTTTTAACTACAGAAAATATAGATTATTGATTAAAGTAAATAATTATTTTTCAGTTCAATTGCTCTCCCTGGTAACTAATAATAATAGTAACAACAATAATAGCAACCAGACAATTAAATCTACACAGAAAAAATTAAACAGAAATATATCAAGCTTATGAGACAGTTCATCCAGAAGATATAATAACCTTTAAGTCAATAAATTAAAAGGTAAATAATATAAAAATGAACATATTAAAATATAAAAGAAATAACACATAATGGAGCATTTAGGGATTATTTTATTATTAGAAGGTTATGGTTAGAGAATAGATTATTTTGGAGAAAAATGATAATGTGTTTCAAACAGCCCAACAGCTCTATATTGTTATTACTCCCTATTATACATGGCCTCTCCAAAGCTGATAAATAAAAGACTAAAGCACAAGAATAATAGTTCCAATTTAACTATACATTTATGTTAAAAAATACTGGACACAGTAGACATTTAAATCATGCACATTACTAAATCCATTAGACTATCTTTGTGTAATAAAAAATATTTTCTCTGAATACAGTGAATCACAACCACCTGCATATTTCAAAAACACCAGATCAGTAATGCCTAGTCTGCACTATAAGTCACCATTTCTAGACGGAGGATCTTTTCCTTTGAGAGATAGAGAAACAGCAAGCAGTTTACACATCAGATGATGTCTCTGGTTCCTACAATTTACACTAAAACAACATTGGATTAAAAATAGCAAGTGAAGATGATTTTAAAATAAGAAAAATGATTTTGTGGCTAGATTCTATGGTTCAGATAATTAAATGTTTTGCCAGCTTACCTGATAAAACAGAGCCGTATGGATCACAGCATAACAAAGCCCCGCATCCAAGATGGTTAGAGTGTAACGTGCCTTCCTCTGCAGTTGTTCAGATTTTGGGCCACAGAGGTTTACATATTAATCACAGTATTTTTTTTCCTCTGCTTTCTCTGTGGATAAGAAAACAAAGAGACCTTTCGAGAATCCTCTCTGCTTATGCCTCCGCTTCCTGTTCTGAGATTCACTCTATGGTACCCAACATATATCAGAAAACAGCTTTGAGGGGAGGAAAAAAAAAAAAAAGCTGACAACAGTCAACGTGGTACCGCCATCTACTGGCAGACACACAAAATTGAACAAAAGAAAAAACATCACCAGTATAGTTTATCACGGAGTAAAACATCACCTATCCACTGGCCTATGTGTATGTACAAAGGGATTCTCTTACATTCCCAATATTTTCACCTCACAAATATATTTTTTTAATTTTATAAATTTTCACCCATAACTAGTATAATAACAAAAAACTGTTTGAAAAATAACAAATTCTGTTTGAAAATAGGTTTTTAGATAAGCTCATATCCTTCATGTAGAATTTTGCAAAATCTTACCTGCAGCCTGTAGTGACCTTTCAAAAACTTTTTCTTTTTATCAGATGAATTCTTTCCAAGAGAGTAATCTGACTTCTTGGAGATGAATGTAAATAACGCACATTCACTGAGAGTCTTTTTGTGTAGCTTTTTGGTAAAACATTGATAAAGAATAACCTTTGAATGTGAAAAAGTGTTCCATACTTAAGCGAGACCTAACTAATTTAGACCTGTGGATTGTTCTGCGGTGTGTAAATGGGAAGAGGAACAGGTGAAATTCATCTTCATGAATTAAATCAGTGTTGATATATTATTATATCTATGTCTTTAAAACACTTAAGAAAACATTGCAAGCATCACACAATACATAACCAAAATGAAAATGACTTATCAGTTTATTGAAAGAGATTCCTCAACTAATCAAAGACTATTCATTTCCTTTGGTCTTTAATTTTTAGAGCAAACAAATATAATTTTATTACTTTATCATTAATTAAATGTGTTCATATTGAGGGAGCACTTTAATGTATGTCAGGCACTATGTTAGCTTTGAAAAGACAAAACTCACAGTACCTGTCATCAAGGAGCTTATGAATAATGAAGAGAGACAAATAGAGCAAAGACTGTATTTTCAAGCCATGTGCTCTAGGAGTGTTATGTACTTAATTTGAATTTTAGCCCCCATTTTGCCTCATGGCAGAAAATATATCTAGTCAGTCCAGTAGACTGGGTCACTTGAGGCTTTTTCCAGTGATTTCAGGTTCATTCTAAACCAGTGCGCAATATTCCGCGTCCATCTCGCTGTCTCACGGGGACCCGGCTAAGCCTAGGAATGCCTGCATGTATGGAGAAAGCGGAGTAAGGCCCCAGCCTCCCTCTTTTTTTACGTGGGCATCCGGTGAGGTGTAGAATCCTTGGGCATCACCATTCCTCCACACAGAATTACCCCCGTTCCCATTTGGCCCCCAGAGCAGCAAACATCCAGTTTTGCATGGCAGCATCTCTTCCTGACCATTAGTTGTTTCAGGTTTTCTCAGCATTTCCTCTCAGGTAACTTTGTTCCTGTCCTTGGCGAAGGGGGGAAGAAAGACAAGTAGCCTTCTGGGCTATAACTGGCTGAAGTCAGTCCCATATCCCAGGCATCCCACCTCACCATCTCTGTTCTACTGTTTCGTTGCATGGAGTGGGAGGTGCTCTGTGGCCTTCAGACAAGTGAGGCACCATCTCTCCTGCATTAGAATATTCCACTTTCTCATCTTTCTGGCTTTTTAGCTGTTCCTCAGTGGGCAGGCTATGTCGGGGGCCCTTATAACCCAGGTGGGTGGAGCTCCCTTGCTTCCTCACGGACTTCCTTTCCAGCCCCAAATAGTTTTGCTTGGCACTCATCCTCATGTGCCAGTTGTAAACTGGACCCACACATTTTCCTCTCAGATGTCTCTGTCTTAACCTAATATGTTAGTTTGCTAGGGCTGCTGTAACACATCACCACACTGGGTGGCTCAGACCAACAGAAATTTATCATCTCAGCTTAGATACTAGAAGTCCTGACTCGAGGTGTCCGCAGGGCCGGGCTCATTCTGAAACCTGCAGGCAAGGGTCCTTCTTTTTTCCCCTCAACTTCTGGTGGCCCAAACTGTGGGCTGCGACGGTGTAACTCCAGTCTCTGTCTCCTTCTATTCATGGTGTTCTGTGTCTCTTAATGTTGTCTTCCCTCTGTGCATACCTGTCTCTGTCCAAATTTCCCCCTTCTATGAGGACAAAAGTTATTTTGGATTAGTGCCACCCTAATGATTTAAATTTAACTTGATTACCTCTATAAAAACCTTGTTTCCAAATAAGGACATATTCTGAACTACTCAGGATTAGAACTTTAATGTATCTTTTCTTTGGGGGTGGGAGGACAATTCAACTCATAACACTTAGGCTGAAACCTTTTACATTTTAACACAAGAATCTGATGATTCTTTTATCTGTTTCCCATGACAACTCCATTCATGAAATCATAGCCTTGGTATCTGGCCAGAATTTTTGAGGAGTGTTTGAGAGAAGAACTTGAGGTAATAGTGAATAAATAATAATAACAATAACAAAACCTAACATTTATTCACTATTATGTGCCAGACACTGTTGTAAGCACTTCACATGTATTCATTTAACACTTGCTATAGGAGGGATTTTACATTTTTACAGATGAAACAATGAAACCTGGAAGGCATAACAACACATCACTTAGTACTTCACGTATCATCTTCCCACACAAGTGATTATCATCCAGTAAGATAACTGCTATGATATAAATATGCTCAAGTGCAGGAGGCGCAAAATGGACGTGAGCTTCCACTGATTTAGACCACTGCTCCCACAGTGAGTGAGAATTCATTTCACTGTGTAAGTTCTCCATCATGAGATACTTCTCTTTCCTAGGAAATTTTACCTTTTTTCGCCAGTCACAACCAAATTATCTTTGCTCACCACAGCTTTACTAATTCTGCCAGTCCCTAGCACTCCATTCTAATTTCTCCACTATTAACAATACTTACAAGTATATTCATTCTGATGTCCACTTTTGGATACCCATATACTCAAAAGAGTTTCCTCCCAGTGTTTTCTGGGGAACTGATTTTTTTCGGTGATTTTAGGGTGTGTATGTGTGTGTCTGTTTAAAGTATAAAAAGTTTATTCTGAGAACAATGAGGGGGAATTATCCTGGGGTGAAATTTTGAGGAAGAAAAAGAAAAACAACGCAGTTTATAACAAATTCAATAGACAGAACAAATTTAAAAGAATTATATAACCATAATAAATATATGACAAATTTAATAGAATTATATAATTATAGTATCAATATAAATTAAAAACAAATAATCCTAAATTTGACAGAATTTACATGTTATTATGGAAATACTTGCCTCATCTGATTCATATATTCACTGCTAATATTTTTAGTTGCTCCATAGAGCTGTCATGAGTAACAATTATTATTCTAAATATCCAAATCTAATTTAGAGATTTTATAATTTTGAGATTTATCTTTTAAATTTTCTTAAATATCTCCATTTCATTGCTTCCCACCTCCCCTCCCTCCCCTTGCAGTTTGGAATAATAGTTTCATAGGCCTAGTTCAAACACAAAAAAAGTACAAATATTAATATGAAGAATCAAGACAATGTATGGAGCTAAGATGAATACTAGAGGAATAAGAGTATACTGCATCTATGAGGTGAGAGTGGATACCTTGAAGGAGACTAAAGTACAATAAAGAGTGCTTATGAATTAGATACATCATAGATAAAGCAGGGGAAAAATCAGCAGTTTGGAAGAAAAAATTGAAGACTTTTTTAGAGAGTTGAACAAGAACACAATAATATGGAAATGTGATTTTAAAAAAGAGCATCAATCCCCTATGTAAAATACCAAGTATATGATTTACAAGGAAAGTCTCCAGAAATGAGAAGGCTCACCCAAGTGTTCACTTGATGAAAAAGAACACACATGGAGATGCATTATAAAATTTTTAAACATCAAATATAACAACAATAATCACATCACCATCAGTTATCTGATGGTAGGAAAAAAGGAAAAAGGGCTATAAAGATATGGGGAACATTGTTTTATAGTTTTTTCCCCTGCCAAGCTAGAAATCAAGTAAATCTTGTATGAGAAACAAATAAAGGTGTTCAGATAATCTGAACTCTAAAATTTTAGCTCCTTTATATCCTTTTTAAAAAAGTCACTTGAACATATACTCCAACCAAAAAGAATATAAAAGGTGAAAAAGAAAAAGAGAAAGAGAGGGAGGGAGGGAGAGAGGAAGGAAAGGAAAAAAGAAAGAAAGGGGGAAAGGAGAGGAAGGGGGGAAAGGAGAAAAGGCAACCAAGGAAGACAAAGATATGACATCCAGAAAACATCCGGATTCATTCATGAATCTGCCTAGTTGAGGAGCAACATCCTATCCCAGGAAAGCGTTTTTGTGGAGGCTAAAGATGCAATTAGTCCACATTGTAAGATGGAAAGGACATCCACAAAGTAAATATGATGTGAGTATCAAACAGAAATGGGATGATTAATTCCTTTTTATTAGCCTGTTGATGTGATGGATTGCATTAATTGTTTTTTGAATGCTGAGCAGCCAATCTAGGTTCAGAACAAAACAAGAAAACAAAGATAATTATTGCAACAACATACCTAACAGCAAAAAAATAAATAAATGTCCTCAAAAGATCTTTACTCCTTGTTGCTGAAGGTATCCATTTTATGTAGGCAGATTTTATCATTATAAATACAAAAAACAAAAAGTAGTAGTGACCAGAAGGACTACATCATTGCTATGATTTGAGCTTTATTGTGGCTTTTGTGCTTTCCTTCTGCAGGTGGTATGACAGGTGATTTTTAGGTCTTCAGTAACTGGACCTGAAGTTTAGGTGAAATAGTCAGTCGCTGGCTACAAATATAGTAGGGCTTTTGGAATCTTAGTGTTATCTGACCATACTTTTCAACATATCCTTCATAAATCATAGAAATTCAGAGTCGAGCTAGTAGCCTCTAGTTAGGACTGCTGATTTGGTCTTTTTATTCCTTCAGCCTCTAATTCCTTGAGATTTTTAGAAATTTTGTGGGTAGAGCCTATAACTCTAGTTGGCTCTATTTCAACTTCAGAAGCTT